ACAATGGTAGGATTTTAAATTTTTTTTGAACGTTAGTCATCACAAAATGTTTTTCATTAAAAAGTGTGCAATGAAATCAAATCAAAATCCATCTGAGAAATTATATTTTATTGATAACTTGCTTAGCTCCAAACCAACATTCTAATGTACAACATACAAGTAAGCATTCAATGTCAAATCAAGACTGGAAAAACGTTGTCGACCGACTTAAAGTGCAGTTAAATAATTTAAATATTAATCCAGTAGAAAGGCCAGAAGAATTTTATGAAGCAATTAGCAAGCTGATTGGAGACAATCATTATTTTTTAAATTTTATCAATCAACTTCAAAATCAAAATCGGTTCGGTATTAATTCAGATCTAGAAGGAATTTTAGAAGGAATTGACAATCTGATTAACGAAAATGGATGCATTAAAAATTTTATTAGTCAACTTCAAACGCCGTTAAATCTTAATCTTAATCAAGGAGAAACTCTAGGAATAATTTTAAAAAGAATTTTTGGAGTAATTGGCAATCTCATTAACGAAAATAAAAGATTAGCTGATGATAATAAAGTTTTTAATGAGTCAGTGAAGATATATGAAACAAATAGTAAGGAATTAGCCAGATATCAAAATGAAGTAGAGCCACACTTAAATCAAGTAATTGAGTCACAATCAGCCGAACACACTGATTTAGTGACAAATTACAATGATTTAGTGACAAATTACAAAAAATTGCATGCAGAAAAAGAAAATCTTACAAATAAATTAAACATAATTGAGCCAGAATACAATGATTTAATGCTAAAGTTCAATGATTTAGTGCCGAAGTACAAACAATTGCGTGTGGACAATGAAAATCTTACAAATAAATTAAACATAATTGAGCCAGAATACAATGATTTAATGCCAAAATTTAATGATTTAGTGCCGAAGTACAAACAATTGCGTGTAGACAATGAAAATCTTACAAATAAATTAAACATAATTGAGCCGGAATACAATGATTTAATGCCAAAATTCAATGATTTAGTGCCGAAGTACAAACAATTGCGTGTGGACAATGAAAATCTTACAAATAAATTAAACAGTTACAAAGAACAAATTAAAAATATGGAACAGGAAATGGGCGAAAGTAATAGTAAAATAGCAAAATCAGAAGAAAAGGGAAATCTTTATTTAGATGAATTAGTTAAAAATAAGGAAAAATTGAATAAATATCAGCAAGAGATTGACAAATACATAGAACAAATCAACAGCTTAAATAATAATTTAGAAATAAATCAACAAGAAATCACTACCTTAAAAATCAATATATCCCGTGCAAAAGCAAATTATGATAAATTAAATAATGATTATACTAAGGATAAAATTTGTTAAAGATTTAGAAAGATCGAAACGAGAATTAGAGGCTATAAATGAAAAATTAAGAAAAGAAGCTTCATCATATCAATCAGCTTTAGGGGATGCATTAAATTTCCGTTTGAGTGATGAGGATAATAATAATTCAGTCCAACTTTCAGCTGATATAAATTCTTTACAGGATAAACTTGAGAGATATGTTACTACATTAAAGGGTTCTATACAAATTGATAATAATAAAATTCAAGAATTGTATGGAAAA